GGGTGCCCAGCGCAGCACAACACCGTCACTCCGTTGACGAACGAGCGGGATGACGAAACACTGAGCTTCCACCACCACCGTGGGCAAGGTATCGCCATCCCGCCGTCCAGACAAGAAAAGCAGCATTCCCCGGGGAACGATTCTCCAGCTGCAAACCTGTAAGTGACAGGAGACCTCCGGTAACTCGGCCAAGCTCCCGCCAGGCCGAGAACACAGGCCATGCTGACGCCCTGGCCTGCGAGGGAGGAGCAGCCCCGGCGATGCCGTCTTACACAGCACGGAGGCCTCTCAGCCACAGCTCCCCAAGTATTTTATTTTCAGGGGTGTTTTCAAATACCTCTGCTGTGTTTCAAGACAGGAGGGAGAGGCAGGGGAGCCTCGGGCCCCTCCCCTGACACAAAGGCTGGAGTTAAGATCTAGCTCCCTTCAAGAAAGTGCTATTTATAGCAGGCTGAATTTGAGCATCTCCTAAAATTCAAAGACTTGAATGAGTCTGGCAGGAAAAGCTCTGCGGGAGGTGAACAACATGGACTGACGCTACCTCTGGGTCCTGTTTGCTTTCTTGTTTGTCTCGGGGAGCGGGTGGCTCAGATCACGCCGCATCTTGCTTTGATACACTGGCTCCGCATGCAGAGACCCCCCCCCCTTAAACAGGGCTCGACTCTCCTCCACCAAACCAAACATGCTCCAAACTTGCAACAGTGGCTGAAGTCAAAAGCAAAACAAATTCTACCCGTTTCGTTTTTGAACAGGCTCTTTGATTACCGAGAAGAGAGAGAATTGCTGCTGCTATAGAAACAGCAGCCACCAACCTGGTGACCACGCTTGGCTGCGGGCAGACCTGGAGATTGCTCAAATTGCAAGATGTGCCACGGTCCACATCCAACTACCCTACCAGCCTAGAGGTCCTTTGTAAGGCCTCGGAAATATCTGAAAACACGAGCCCATGCTCCGTTTCAAAACTTCTCAAAGCAGATACTTTTCTCCCAACAGGTATGAGCAGGCAAAAGGTGTTGGTAAATACAATATTGCCCAAGCCTGGTTACAACTTGCTCCTTATTTCCTTGTAAAACAAAATCCATTGGAAACTTAGTGCTACTTATCCCACCACTGCCTAGTTTGAGTGTGGAAAGGGACCCCGTACCTCTGCACCAAACCTGTGGGTTATAAAGTCATAAAACAACACTCAAAGCTGAAACAGCAAATACCTAAATCCTCCTTCACTCCCTTGGGCTTTAACTGTTCTCCACCATCTCTGCAGACACTCATGGCAATGCTGTAAACCAGGGACTACTGAAAATAAAACATCTCTACAGACACCAAAGCAGTAATTACTATTCTAGAGACAAATCTAAAACATTTTGTTAAAGAGAGATTATTTTGGCAAGCACTGTTTAAATAAAAAAAGAGCTGAGTAAACAAGTGAAAAAATTACTGATTTTCCTTAGGAAAAACCCACTCATGTTGTAAATTGCAGTAATTAAAAAAGCAAACAAATGCTGTATTTATGCAGTGATTTGAAGAAAAGCTGTTTAATGTGTTTGCCAAGAAATATATATACATACTAGATTCTTTATGATGAGTAATTGAATTTACTGCACATAATTAACAAGTAAGTAAAAGTTCTGGTATTTCAAGTGTTTAATTACAAAGAGATAACAAATCTAGGGTTTTTTTTTTACCGTCCTTAGATTTTGACACGAGCTATTTAAAAGAACTGATTAAAACACTGCAGAAACCTAACTTTAAGATTATTTCTAGAAACTTTTGCTTACTGTAAGTCAGCCCTGCCAAGAGAAGCAAACTGCGGGGCAGCAGTGAGAGCTCGCCGCCACAGCCAATGCTGTCTGAAGCCGGCCAGCCCCCAGGAGAGGACCGCGATTTCCCATGGACGGGGAGAGGGAGGGCTACAGAAACTAGCTCACGTGAGAAGGAATTTGGCATTCACCTGGATGATGTTTAGGTCAAAACGTCAGTAGCCTTTGGACACACAATCCAGGTAACAGCCTGGTTGAACTTCACCTTTCCAGGGGGTGGACTAGCAATCTGCAGTGTATTTAGCTCAGTCTAAGAACAGATTATGCTATAAACTGCTGAACTGCACCAGCAAACGCTTCACGAATAACACAAAATCATTCCGGTTACAAATCAGAAACATCCCGAGTTAAATTCAGGGCTCCCACTCATGCTTCAGACTGCAGCAACACCACTGACCTGCTAGGAAGGGGCCACGCAGACTGGAAGGGCTGTATTCAATTAAGACGACTCCTGGTAATATCAGAAAGAATTAAAACATTTATTGGGCATAAATATATTACATATACACTACAGATACAGTTAAGTCTTACATACATAGTGTAGTATTTGCAAAATCTATACATTAAAGTTGATATGGCAGTTTTAATACAATGCATATGAAAGTCTAAAATTTACAATACAAGAAAACTTATGATTATTTTTTTTTGAAGTTGAAAAGCTTGGAATGTATGTTCCCATAGTGAGGTAAAAACATTTTATTTTTTTCAATTTAAAGAACTGTGCAAGCATAAGGTTCATACACATTCAGTTAGGGCACTTTTCAATCGTGACACTGAATACTGAGCTACTTAGCCAACAAACAGGATTAGAAAACATTTCAAGTTCATAAAGAAAAAGGCAGAACAACATAAAAACATCTCTCTCCTTCCTTAAGGGTTTTAAATATTTAGTGTTTCATTCTACCTTCCTTTTTTGTTGTTGTTCGTAATTTCTTTGAGAGCAGAGAGCCCTCAGGTTGGATTCAATGCCTCATATAGCTGGATCAAAGGGCATAAAGGTGTACGGGAAAAGACAAGGCGTCAGCAAACGGTGGGTCAGCGGTAACGGAAATCAGAACAGGAATGGTTTAAGATCCGTGATGCTTTATTTTGTTGTTAATACATGAATGACAATCAAGTCACTATGGCAGAATATACAAACTAAAAGAATGTCAAATTAACTTACTTAGGGCCTGTCCCAACTCCTACGGAATACCTTCTCTGATAACCTCAGGGTTGGACTGGGCGGTCTCATTAGCAATGACAGAAGCAAATTAGCAATGACAGAAATGCTTCAAGTGTAACCGATTGCTTTTCTCTACACTTCTGCTCGCTGCTTTTAGTATCATTTGTATTTCAAACTTTCAAAATTGATCAAATCATCTGAAGCAAGGCGGGTTTTTTTTGTTCTTTTTTTATTAAAGCAGTTTTTATTAAAAAGGTGTCAAGCTTGGATTTCATAGCAGCACTGCTGAAACAATATTCCAAAAATAAAAAAAGGGAATCTATTCAAATTTCTGGGTTTCCAAACTAGCAGTCTTTTCATTGTTTTAAAAAATACACTCTTTTCCCCTCCATTGAAGACAGCTGCATATGCTTTGCTCACAAAATACAGATGTAAGGTCACAAAGTTTCATATCACAAATAGATTTAAATAAGATGTAAATAAATTTGACAAGCCATGACTTTGGCAAAAACAAAAAAAATATATATATTTAGCTCAATGCCATTAGTTTGCAAGGCTAAATTAAACTAATTATAGTCAATAACAAAATACAGAACATTTCTAATATTTGCTACATCTAGAGAGGCACACAGAATAATTCATTGATCTTAGCACTTTCTTTCCAGAGATGATTATGTTTTTGGATACATGTAAACGTTTGAATCACTGATAATGGTTTTTTTTGGCATTTAATGTACTAGATGCTCCCATCTTCAAAAACACAAGAAAATGTAAGAAGATTAATAATACTAGGAATGCTGCCAGGTAAAAAGTTGACCTAAAGTACAACAATATAAAACAGACAAAATGTAACATGCTATGGGGAGGGTGGGGAGGGGGATTAGTACATAAGTACACTTTTTATTTTTTATTTTTTTACAATAAATAAAAGATTGCACTGTAATTGGTATTTAAAGTACTGTATGCAGTATATAGTATAAATAAACCTAAAACAAAAATAATGTTGTTTTTTCCCCATTACTTTGGTTAAGGGAATATTATGCTAGTACAGGACACTGAATCTTAGACGATGGAGACAGAGCACAAAATAGCTAGGACAAAAGCAAAACCAAGTAGCAAAAATATACAAAAACAAGAGGCAGGGAAATACACTGTGTCTGTTGCACCCTTTTGGAATCTATTTGCACCTCCAGCTCATTTATGTCCCTGAGGTACTCGCACAATGTTGACTTAATATAAATAATCCAATGATTGTAGAGTTAAAAATTCTAGTATCTTGATGGATTAAAACGTGTATCTTGGAATGGGCAGGCAGGAGGAGGGGGGACATTCCCATCAGAGCAGGACTCTCGTCTGAATTTTGCCATGTACCAAGTTATTTCAATTAGCCCTGTGGTAAGAATAGCACAGACACCCATTTAAGGCATTTAAAATAAACAGATCTCATTTCTGATACCTCCAAAAAAGTTCCATAAAATGGATACCCCTCCAAAAAATAATAATAATAATTAAAAAAAAAAAAAATCAACTGACAGTAAAGTTTGCTTACATCGAGTGTAAATCTCACCTAATTCAGTAGAGGCAGTAAGCTGTCACCAGCTCTAATCATATAAATCAAGCTGAACATAATAGAATAATATCTAGTATTAGATTAGGAATAGTTATATACAGTGACAAACAGACAAGTTAAAGCAGCTTTTAATAGCTGAACATGGGAATAACTAACTATTGCACAATGCCCTCTTACTTAAAATTACTGCTAGGAATCAAAATGGTAAAAAAAAAAATCTATAATGCTTCATAATTTATACGCAGTTTGGTTATCTGATTTCTTATACAGGCAGTTTATAGTGTTTTAACTGTAAAAATAACAGATAATTAAAAAGGTTTTTCGACTGCAGGATATTGTTCCAATTTAAATGCACTAAACAGTTAAAATAACAACTTATGTTTCATCTTGAAAAAACTGGGGCAAATGGAGTGAATAATTCATAGGCAACACTGCTAATACTGTTCAAGGAAAACCTGGTACTGTTGACTAACACTGTATTCTAGTCTTACCACTATACACACTTGTGACTAATGTTTAGAAGGAAAAAGAAGAGACAAAAAAGTGACTCATGATTAAAATTTCCTAAATAGTTAAGATAAAATAAGAGACTGTACGAACTTCGGTGAAAAAAACAAAACAACATTGAAAAGGCAAATTGGTGACTATTTTGAAACTGTGAAGGAAAAAAATCTTGCTTTTGGTATCTGGTTTGCTTGTTTCTCCAGTTTGACCACTTCCTAGTTTTGAATTTCAAAAAGGTGCATCAAAACACTGATTTATCTTTCGTCAAGCTAGAACTGTAAAAACAAGAGAAGTATATAAAATGCATGGTAGAACAAAAGGATTTCAAAAAAAGGAATATCTGAATAAATGTGTGGATTATAATGCGTAGCATTAGTTAAATTTGTATCTCAAACTTCCATTGAATTCTCTACTTCATAAAGAAGTATTGTAATATACAGGCGAATATAATTGACAAACTTGCAAAGCCGAGAACAATGAGGGCTGCAAACTGTTCATCAGTAGGAATCATGCTCTTTATCTTAGGATCATCTATGCTTCCCATTTCTCCTGCAAGCATGATCTCATTTCGCTGAAGCATAAAGGCAACGGATGGGCTGAAAGGTCCACTAAGTTCCTGTGAGGTATCCAAGCACCGGCGGCAGACGCAGACGCGAAACCGATAGTCTGTGTTGACTTGAAGGCCTGAGATGTGGAATGTGGTCTCTTCTCCCTTGTACACCTTCAAAACAAAACAGCAAGCACAGTCAAATACAAAGAGCAAGACAACCTCCTCCTCCTCCTTTCATAGCATCAAACAAGTTAAAAACATAGTAACAGTAGATATTTGCAAGGATTTGGGCCAGAAAGTTAGGTCAAGTCCAAGTCCTGTAAGGAAATGTTGCTGCAGCTCTCAAGGGAAGAACTCACTAGGTCAATGCAGGTTTTGGAAAAATAGAGGCATGTGGAGGACTATGTAAGAGATGTTGAACCATGAGAGGTCTCAATACAGGGTGTTCAACAGAGTCAATGCACACAAGGACAGACAAGACTTCAGACAATATATCAACTATAAGACGTACTCATCTTTTGTGGGTGTGATAAATACTACAAACATATTTCTGGACTCTTAAAATGTGACTATATGCCCAAAACATGACTAAGACATAAGCACCGTGTTCGGCCCCAAAAGGAAGAAAACCTGCAAACTAACGTTATTGGAAGACATTCACTGTATAATCATAAAATTGGTTACAAATATTATTTTAATGTACTTTCCTCATATTTCTCTCAAGAGTCAGCAATTTTGCCAGAAATTACACTTTCAGAATTGTGGAAACAATAAAATATTATTAAGGTATAAAAAAGCTCCTCTTGGTTGCATTGTATATGGTTCTTTAGCAATCCAAACCCATCACGTATTTATGTTAATCAAATGTAGGTACTGTATGACTCAGAGAGCATGAGTCACAATATGAGAAAGAAGAGAGATAACTGAATATCTAAGAGACAGTTTTGCGACTTAAATGGAAAAAGACCACTGGAAACATCTATGAACTCTGAAAACAAATAACCAGTCAACAATTTATATAACGGAGGATTGTTGAAACTGGTATTTTATGAGGTGAAAAACATGTCACAAAGTGCCTGTGTCTGCTGGGGGGAAAAAAAAATCTTGAACTTCAGATACTTCTTCCTTTGCTCATTTAGCTGGTTTCCTTCTCCTCGCTGCGGGAGCGGAAGGCTGAGAGCACCGCTGCCCTCCCGGAGGGAAGAACTCAACTTCGAAAAGGGTAACACGAGGGAAGTTAAACCTGAGCCAATAGAGGACTTCCCGTGCCTTACCCTGGAGTAAGAAATACAGGAGGAAAAAGAAGAGACATGCTCAGCTAAATACCACTTCGAGAGTCCAGCTTTCCTGCCCATGCTTGCCCCTGAGACTCATCCTTCAGTTAGAAAGCCAGCTGCCGACTTCTTGAGAAGGTCTGGGACAAAAGATTAAGGTTTTTATTTCATTTGTTCTCTCCCCTCCTTTCAAACTTCCACAGTTTTTCCAAATGTGGTTTGAATGACGGTGACTCTGATTTCCAGACTGAATAGAAGTCCTTTAACTGCCTCATGTTTCTTGGCCCCAAGGCATAAATCTAGAAGCAATGTTTAAACAAAATTATTTTACCTTCCTCAAGTATGCTCAGCATTCGCAGGAAGTTCACTCTAGCTCAAGTGACAGGAATACAACACATTCATACCATAAATCTCTCCAATTAACCACAGCTATGCACTGTTGCCTTTCTTGTCTTTGCTTGTCTTCCCAACACCAATGAGAAGTGAGTCATTAAGTTACAGTAATACAGTAACTGCAGGGAAAACAAAACTGTAAGTGCTGTAGTGGTCCACAGAAATAGCGTGAAGGTTGAAACATCTGTTTGCAAAGGGTACCTTATACCAAGAATGACTCTGCCACTCTATTTTCCAATGACAATTCCATTTCTAACACTGACCTGTTGTGGGCAACTGTCCTCCACCTACTCCATCATCAATGCTACACTTTGTAGGTGGTTAATACTTCAGTTTACTCCCAAATATAAATGATCATGCAAAGAAAAGTTGCATGCATTTGGCACGTAGGTTCAGCAAGTAATTAAGTAAGGATGTGTTCTTCCACAGGACCAGAGTCAGGATTCTTCTACATGGAGGACTTACCTAACTCCCATTTCTTTTAGAGTCTGAGATGTGGTAACTCAAAGCATCTATCCTTACAAAACAATTGTAAGCAAGGTATGTTTTCTGGTGCCGTTGTAATTACTAATTTCATTTCAAAATGTATAATCAGGAGAGCTCTACACGCCTTTGCCGTAAATGAACCTTTGCAACCAATATGACTACTTCTAAAACAAAATAAAAATCCAGTAAAATCCAAATAATGACATTTAATAAAAATTTTACAATCTAATCTTCATACATTACATTTAATAGATACTAGGGATGGGATATATACAACCTGTCTTTGCATTGAAAAAACCTGTCCAGTTAATTGTTTTTTCAGTTGTTTTGTTCTGTCAGGGTGGTGAATACCAGTGTAACTGGAGGCTAAGTTTGGCTAAATCAAAGACCTGTATCTTCGTTACAGTCTAATAAATATAGATGACCAAGTTTACTCAAGCCAGCTAGTCAACAGCACTTCTCAGAAACAGGCCAGACAGTCAAGTGAGAAAAGAGTGCATCGTTGAAGTTTGAAAAACAGTTGAAAATACATTGAATACATTAATTAATATTCACTAATGATAAAGACAAAACATTTCGTGCACTAGGGCTAGGAAGGTGGTGGGAATTCTTCTGCTTTCAGTGGTTTGATGACTATTTAACACCAGTGGATCTATGTCCTTTCTCAGTAACAGGTAAAAAATTACTGTGCTTAATTATCATTCGCTTATGGCAGGAGCCACGTATCCTCCACAACTGGCTGCAGCAAGCACCTTGGAGACGCTACTGGCTCCAGCTCAGTTTTGTCTGCATTAGTAGACTGCATTAGTTGCTAAGCCAACGCAGGATGCCCTCAGCACAAAGACATATGCTTGGCTGGGAACACAGTTACACTCTGTGAATGGACTTCACATACACAACAGAGAGGGGGGAAAAAAAAAAATCAAATTGACAATTATAAGGTCTTTAAATTTTCTAAACAAATATTAAACCAATTATGACTGTATAAAGCTGCGTACTTTTTTATATGTAGCACATTATGCTTTGGTGGTCAACAAGTCAAAGTAAAGTGGCTATCCAATTGATCACTTTCAGTTCCTAAAAACAGCTTTTCTGTTTAGGTACCTGAGAATATAATAAAAACATGGTGAGCTTTTTGCCTGGCTCCCTCAATGAAAATACCACCACGAGTAATAAACTGCTGCTGAAGCCTCTTAGGGCATTTGATCCTATTGATCAAGCCAGACAGTTCAGAGAATTCCTGTAGGCAAGTATTTCTCAATTTCACCGATGTCATTAAATAATTCCAAACCTCCTCCGTCTTTTCCAAATAATAAAAATGACAGCCAGAATTGCCCTATAAGCGACACACTGGAAACTGTAAGATAACCTTACCTGGGTGTTGCACTCCATTGCAATGACCAGTGTATTTAGTAATTAATAAAAGCCTATGTTGTATGGTGATAAGAAGATCAAGAATTGGAGGCAGGTTTCACTCTATTTAGAAAGCATGCCCACTTGAAAGGTTTAATTTCTTCTAAGTCATATTACAGATTTCTCTTTAAGAAACTGGGTGGCTTTATTATTTTATCCAAACTCAAAATCAGCTTCCCTCACTCCACTGCTGAGATGCTCATAAAACCTTAAGAGTTGTGTGGACAGCAAATCAGAGCCTCTCAGATCACCATCCACGAGGCGGGCTGCACTGAAAAACTCTAACAAAAGGAAATTATTTGCTCGTCGCATGACACAAAATTGGCATCAGGAGGCAGAGAAAATACTCAATGCAAGTAGCACTAATAATAAATGCCAATGCGTACTGTACAATTATGTTGTATTTTGGCATGCAACCAGTACAAGTGCCTTTGACTTGCTATTTAAAATAGAGAAGGAAAAACAATTTTTTGCTGATTTACACAAATCAACAGTGCAGTGAATGCGTTTCAGAGATTGTGTGTCTACAGAGTCTGAAACAAAGAAAAAACAATAATAAAAATTAGAGCTTGGTGAGACCAACCAGGTTCTCCCACGGATCCACCTCTCGGTACAGAGCCGAGCAGGCTTCCCACTGCATTGCTGGGGGATTTTTACACACCCAGTGTATCCTACCCATATATTTTCTTCATTTGGAAAGCATTTGGGGACAGTTTTCTCCCAGAAGAGATATGGCAGAAGCTGATGAAACACCATCGCCTCCAAATTCTCGGAAATTTCAAAGGTAGGACATTTTGCCTCACTGGCAAACAATTTAAGGATAAAGAAGCTTTAAAACTCAGCTCCCATCTCCCACGGACAGCTCTTATGAAGAGCTGGCTCCTCAGTGATTTGATCCCCAGAGCTGCTCAATTGGGAAACTAAAACTTGGGCTGCCGAGTGTTATGACTGTTACCCCAAGCTTCAGCTCCTGCACTGCACAACCCAGCCCGCTCCCCAAGCTCCAGATTAAAACTATGCAAAGCTGGAGACAATTTTAACACACTTGAAAGCTAAGTTCTAACTGAGTAAGCTTTGCTAAATGAGACTGCAAGAAACAGAAAAACAGAACTGGGCCACCGATTCCTGCAATCTGCTGTGATTTACATCCTGATTCATAAACAAGGAAAATTTGATTGCCTAAAAAGAACTGCAATGTCATAATGCCATTGCTTTTTGAAGTATCCAAATAGATAAAGCGTACAAATACAGAAAAAGGAACACATCGCTTAAGAAAAGGAAAAGGAGTATTTAGTATTTTTTAACACGCTTTTTAGGGAGCTAAATTGTTATCTGTTTAGCTCCCGCAAATCCAGTTCTTCAGAAAATTCTCAGCAGAGAAATATTTACAGCGTGTTTACCCAGAGGAAGGCAGGGATGGCTATAGCCCCAGTCTGAAAAAAAGGGCTTTTGAATACTTTGACATCACCTCTGCTAGGTCAAATGGTGGAGGAGCAGTGGCTTTTGGGAGGCAGAGGGCTGCATACATCGGGCTACAGGTGGAAGGAGACAGCTCAGGTGTGACGATCTAGAGAGAAACTATAGCTTTACCCAAAAGCCCATCAGTGGCTGATGTTGCAGCAGAGGAAGGAAATGCTAAAGCAATTTAGCTTATTTTATAAGTTAATGAAGATGATTATTTTCTAGAACTTGAATTTGTTTCTACAACATAAGCGAGGTGCAAGTACAGACCAGTGGGCTGCTCCTAGGTGTTCTCACATCTCTTGAGAGCTTCATCTCTAGGATGGTACACACAGCAATAGATTAACAAGGAGCCCAAACTTTGAAAGTTAACAGATGACAATAAGACTTTGTCTTCTCCTATTCATGTTTTATTTCATAATGGAGTTTTCTGTATTTATTCGCTTTAGATACAAAACACACTAGAAAGGTGTAATGATGCCCTACTTCATTCTGGTCCACAGGCAGTCCCAGAAAAATCAGCGCCGTGTACTAAAGAGATACTCTGTGTGAATAAGGGAAGTGAAACATGGCCACTTATTTCAGCGTGCACCCAACTCTGTGCCAGAATAAACTGAAGCACACTACTTCATGCCTAGTCAGCACCAAGTGCCCAGGTGGATTTTCTCTTCTGTTAATGAAATTAATACGGGAGAACATCGCATTCTGCTCCTTCTGAAGGGCTTCCTAGCAAAAAGCTGGATCAAGGTCTGTAATGTAAAATTTTCCCAGAAATAGGAAACATCACCTCTGTGCCGCCTGAGGAAGGATTTGTGTGAGCTTTCCTACCGAGTCCACTGAGACTCCGTGCTCGACACCGTGCCGCTCTGTGCGCACAACTGTTCCCCAAACAGTCATGGGATAGTCGCGTTTTGAAAAGTCAAACACAATCATCATTAAAAACTTCTAAGTCCGTTTTCATGATGATAGGATCTTCCTTTTCCAAGCTTTTATTTGGATGAAAAGCCTAAAATCTACTATGTAAAGCATACAATGTTCTTGCCAATAAAACACCATGACACCAGTTTAAAATACTTAACATAGTACGAATGCTAAGCCAGTATCACAAAAGGCATATTGACATCTTCCCAATCTGTTTGTCAGAATAACAGTATCTTTGTAAAATTTCCTGGGGAAGAAACATATATATCAAACATTCTCCCATTCTCATCATCTTGATTTCTGCCGAGCATAGTTACTTCTACAGACAGTAATGCTTAGAGTAAATGCTTTACCCTTTAATTGGTTTGTTCTGCTCCAGGAGATACCTGCACATGAACTTAGACTCATAAGCTTTTACTCATTTAAACACTGAAAGCAAGAATTAGAGCTTTAAGATAAAATGAGGAAACCGGTTTTGGTCAGTTATCAGCTGTATTCATCTGAAGTAAATCAACTGGGAGCAGACAGGGAGATGTGGCTCTATGGATTTGTAACATCTCTTCCTAGTAAAAACTGTCCAAGGCCTTGCCTTAAATAGTTGCCTTTAAATTGCTGCAAATAAAGTGATCTATTGACAGAATTACAGACTTACAACAGAGAAAGAGCTTTATATGTTCGTAAGTTGAAAAGTTCCAATTTTAAGGTAATTTTAAAAAATAGATTTTTATTCTATGAAACTGTTCTCATCTGCGTTTGAAACTCATCTTCTCATCTCTTCTCATCCGATGTAAAACATGTCGCAGAACAGAGACAACTGTGTCCTGGAGGGTGAGCGAAGGTGAAAGCATCTGAGGATGAGTGACCCTACGTGTGATATGAAGTCCTGCATAGCCCATAAACAGCTTCAAATAGCTATTTGTTGCATTTATTTCCATGCCAGTGGGACATAAAAAATTATTTCATGCAGCTATTTTTCTCCTTCTCATCCAGCTATACTATCCCTGGTTCTTGCAAAACGCACTGGCGACTGCTATAGAAACATACATATATATAGTCACTGAAGACCCTGTTCTTTCTCATGGGTGCATTTAATAGCCTGAAAGTCTACCATATTTTTATTTGTGCAACCCTTCAAAACAATTTGCAAAACTCTTCTAATATAATACGCTCCCTGAGATACATATGCAAAATACGTATGTCACTTGCAGGGAACAAAATAGATTTAAAAGTAAATTTAGGACTTGCACTTAAAACGTAACTAACATATCACTAAAATTACTTTTCAGCTAAAGAGTAGCAAGTGATCACACGCGTGCCACAGCAAAGGTAAAGTGAAATGCATTAGCCAGAAAATCACTGAAAGACATTTATGTATTTTATCTCTTATTCACATAACAGGAGCTAAGAGCATGCGCACACAGCTACTGCAGCTCAGCTAACGGACAGTTAGTCAGTGATGTGCCCCAGTGCTGAGAAGACACCCACATTTGTGATGAAGATAAGTAATTTTGATGGGTGAAACTGATTTCTGAGACTGAAACCATTTTCCACAGCTGGTTAGCAGCCAGCCCAACTACAGAAGTCACAATGTCAGCTTTGAGCACCCCAGCCAGGAGCTGCTTCTAATGAGTCACTTGTGAAAACTCAAGCAAAACACCCCTCAGCAGGGTTGTGCTTCATGAGAAATGAAGACCTTCAACATAAGATCCCTGAAGGTACTTTTAATTTCCTTTATTGCTGGGCTTTTTCATACCACAATTTCTTGACTGCGAAGATTATGCCATCACCTACCTTAAAGGAACAGGAAGCCATGCCCAATTCTCCCCAAGGACATCCAGAACATTTTAAGCACTGAAGCTATGCTTACTAAAGCTGTAGGTGGAGGTTATACATCAAGGCTACTTTGTAAATCGGGCAACAGCAAAATGAGTCCACTTATCCACTTACCACTGACATTACGAGGCCAACACAGCACACGGAGGTTTTATTACCGATACCAGCACCAAAAATGTTTCCCGACAAAAACAGTAGTTAGGTTTCTGAATCTTTAGCACTCACATGAATTGTCTTGCATTTATTTATGCTATTTTTGACAATTCATTAATTCGCAGTAATACTCAAAAATAGACTGAAGAGGAGCAAAGACAGTTGCAAAGTACTACCTTATTCATATTTTTAAGAATTTAATTTAAGGTTTAACATATCTCATCCCCTAATTTGGACTTATTTGGAATCCGTATGACAATGAAAGAAAGGACAGGGAGAAGACAGGGCACAGATGACGCGCAATGTAAATCACACAGAGGTGTAATAGATAAATAAAAGATCTAGCTGTGAATGAGTTGTTCTGTTTCAGGTGCTCTGGGGAAATGTCCACTTGTGAACTCTAGTCATGATAGACAAGGAAAGAAGGATCAGCCGTACTTCGTTCACTTGGTTTCCACGGTGCAAGAACAGACACAGGTTCTGTGGGGCAACTGATATACAGAAGTTACACATACTTGCAGCGAAACCTTAGACAGGAATGGGATGGCTGAACAAACCAATTAAAAGTTGTGTACGTGACTGAAATCCTTGATGGAGGGTCTTGGAATTGGCTTAGTGAATGAGGAAGATAATCTACCTACTTCATCTTCTCATCTTCAGACAACGGTTAGCACCAGCCAGTTCAGAAGAAAGCTTGGGTGGACAGAATTGTAACTTTTCAAAGGTTAGTTCAGTTAGAAGTAGTGATTAACTATGGACAGAGCACAAATCACTCCAATGAGATAATGATGTTCTATATACTCCCTCTGGGGAGAAAACAACCTATTACAGCCCTTAATTTTGACTCAACCTTCACGAAAGTTCATGACGCATAACCATAGGGTGTAATTCAATAGAGTAGAAAGCAGCAGCACAGCAAATGTTCAAAAACATTTCCATTGTATCATCAATTTAGCAATATTAAAACAAGACCATTTTCCTACCTGCTTGTATTCAGATTCTCTTCCAACCAGTACCTGCAGAACGTAACCGACAGGATCTCCCTTCATGGGTGGGACCATTTCCCAGGTAATTTCACAGGCGTTTCCTCCCAGCTGTGTCACTCGAGGGGCTACAATAAAATTAAATACGTTAACATTTAATATAGAGACTGCATTGAAATCTTACTCATTTTACGCATACTGCAATATATACGAGAACATTTTTAAAAAGAGAACTTTGGGACATCACAGGGGTTAGTAGCACGTAATCTGTAGTGTTATTTATGTGGCTAAAAATCAATTGCTGTCACCACTGGATGAAAGAAGTAAAACTGTGGCTGGATCTTTAAGTCACTCAAAAGTCACATTTATTTCAGGACAGTCTTGTCTGATTAAGCAGTTCAGGATTCTTGTGATATTAAACAATAACAAACACTGCTCACAGAAAACCGGGTGAAATTCAGAGCTGATGAACAAGCTCCTGTGAAGTTTACTGTAGGACCCAGACCACTTCTGCAGAAGTAAGCAAGCTGTTAGAGCATCTCTGATCTGTCAGCTGTGTGAGCCGCTAGAAAGGGGGAGCGGATGTGATAGAAAACTTTGAACTTTTAAAATTCAATTGCAATGCTGTACTCTGATCTTTTCAAAGCAGAAGCCAACACAGGAATTACGCTGGCATTAATAAAAGCCGTAATTTTGTGAAGTTCTGAGCAAACACCTGTGCCAGTGGAGATGTTTGCATATTCCTCCCATGATACACGTCATTGAAAGAGAGGAATAGTATCAAACATTTCATTCAGGAAAAACGGGAAAAGGAATGTGACAAGGGAAGCTAAATTATCTTCTGTATTAGTCCAGTCTGGGAAGCAAAAGTACAAGCATAATTTTAAAGACTTGGGACTCATATCTAACTCTAAGCCTGAAATTCAGATGGTCAGACTGCTATTTCTAGCCAGGCTTAGACTAGTGCTTTCACTAGAACCCTAGAGAAATTCAATTTGTCGGCTGTTACCACGCTGCCGTCCTTGGGAACATCCTATCTCTCACCAGCTGAAAGTCACTGTACTATGCCTGACGGCAAGCTGGCAGGTGAGCCGAGCAGAGTACTAACAGTGGCAGCATGTTCACATGTACAACTAAGCATCGGCCACTGGAAGGCATCAAAACAACTGCGACAGCATCCAGAGTCCACCAACCTCTTGATCAGGCAGAGCAAGCCAGGACATGACCAAAAAATGAAACTGGGAGAAACAATGGCGTTAAACACTTTAGCGAGTGGTTAACATGTGCACATGCAAGGACATGAGCTTGTTAAAGGCAATATAGATCCCCAACCCTACGAAAACAGACAACAGGAGAGTCTACCAAAGAAACAAACGCTGCTGCTGCTGCTGCATACATTACATGAATTTTAGACTAACTCGTTACCACCCAAGAGGAACACATGAATCATACGCGGACCCAAATGTAATCAATATCCATTTGCTTCTCTCTGCACATCTGCCAGTGTTGAGAGACTGATAATAGACGCCTTCATCTCAGCTGACAACACATTCTCAATTATTTTCCCTCCTCCTTCCATCCTTCATCCCGATACACGTAGATGTTTGTCTGACACTTACAAAACACTACCATTAACAATAATGCTATTTTAGGGCTGGCATCACTAAGTGAGTAATTAGGATACTTTATAGGAGAATAAACATGTGCTTCTGATACACGAAAAACTGTACTAGTTTATCACCCACATTCCTTTGTATTGCTCTGAACACGGAAGGGAATCAGTACCATCATTTTGCCTCAACAGATCTCTTTTCCGTATGGCATTACCTCCCCACGGCGGTGTTCACTAATGCATTTTTTGTTGTGCCCTTTTCTCTGCGAGAGCCAGTATTTTGTCATGTACCTGTGGTCCCAGCCCACACACAACCCGGTATCTGCACCATATCTTAACTGCTTGATATTCAGTCCAGAGCCTGAGTCATATTTAACAAGAACTAAAAAGGCAGGCAGGGAGTTCAAAACAAAAACCTAGGTGAGATCTGAATTTAGTAAAATGGATTTCTAGCCAACAAAATGAAAATGTGACCACAGTGCAGGCAGGCATCCCTGTGCTAGTTTTATCCACTTAGTGCAGCTAAGAGAAGCAACAGCAACACGGACTCAGCATCCGCGAGTGACACGTGCCTGTGCCCAGGCACTCTGACAACTTGCAGATGATGCTAAAGCTGTGAAGCACACCCTCCCTGCTACCGTCACCTACGCCAGTCTGGTTCATCTGGCATGAGCTCCCTTCGCTTTGCTGGGTAGCATATCTTACAACCACATCAAGATAATTCACTGTTGGGTAAGTATATCTACCCTTGAACTTTACACCAAACACATACAGATATCTTCTTCGAGAAACAGCACTGAAGCAAATGCCAAAACCCAGGGGATATCCAAATCCAGGTAGAAACGAAAGTGGGATTCTCGCATATGCTGATTTTAGCATAGTGAAGCCAATCTCCGAATGTCCTCTCTGCGCTCGAGACACTTATTCTTCCTGGGGGTGATTCAGAGCAGCTAATCTAGGGACCAGGGAAGTTACACCCCAGCAGTGTTTTCCCCTCTCTAAATCTTTGATCATGAATGGTGTGAAAACCACCAAAGCCAGATTTTAAATACAGCTGAGCAAACCTCTCTGACAACCTAACAGTTGCTGTTTCTCACAGTAAATGGTACTGCTAGACAAAGGAGTTTTAAGCACACAGGGAAAAAAAGGTGATTCTGATTTCAGCTCAGTTTATCTGACAGCTGATACAGCGAATCCGCTGCCTTTGTAATATTCTCCTTGGAAGGAAGGAGCAAAATTACTTAGGCCAAAATTTACACGCAGTAAATGACATTTCATTATAAAACTTCATTTAGTTAGGCCTTCTGCTCTTCTAGAGGAACACATGCTCAGTGAGATAAAGAATCTAATACTTTATGTATGTGAAATATCATTATTAATTTTATAAATTAAAGGAAAAATAAACTCTGAAGTGCTACGCTGAACATCACCTACGTAACCTAAAACAACATGCAACTTTACTAACGCTTAAGTTGGTATGTACACATAAACACTAACGCTGTTACATCCCTTATTGAAGTGCTGCAGTATCCAGAACAATCCCTTGGTAAACATTATTGTTAGCAGCAGCATTTTAACAGTTTATGTATAATAACAGTGGTTGATGTAATATTTGTATTTTTTATATGAGGTTTTTTGGTGATAATTTAGCTTCCCACCATAATGTAACTTCACAATTCACAGAAATATACAAGCAGCACGAACTGATTTTTCACGTGGTATTGCATGCTTATGTTAACCCTTACAAACTCACTGCATACTTACCAATTACTTGAATAATTACATGTTACTTATGCATATGTAAAAAAACCTATTACATACCTTTGATTGCAGGTGGGACTGACTTAGTTGTGCAGAAGGTACATATTTCTGAGAAAGGTCCCTCCCCAGCATCATTGACCGCCTGTATTCTGAATGAGTAACAAGTGGATTCTGTCAGCCTCTGTATCTTGTACGTATGACTTGGTCCCCTATAAATCGGAATGAACCTGGAAACAATGAAAATGAGAACATGTAATTACACTGGAGCAGCACTGACATTTCTGGCTACTACACGCATCAGTGCAAGGTATCCATATTGTGAAAATTGGCACAATGTGCTTTACAGAGCTGTTAAAGGCACGTATAAAACCGGCATGTTATTAACACGCTAACAATAATTAGTAGGTCAGGGAAAGCAGAAGTTCAGTGTCTCCTTTGCAACTAATACTTGCCTTGCAACTAATACTTAGCTTGCAAAATAATTACACGAATTATTAGAAAAAACATCTGTCAAGGCATTTCCTACTACCTAGTAATCAAAACGGATTCAACCTGTGTTCTGCTACAATACACCGCTTGCGCTGCTGGTTTAAAAGTATGTTTAAAACAAGATTAATACTTTGAATCTTTTATTGCTTGATTTGGACTTTATTCGCACATTAAGACCCAAAGACCACATGTTGCATTCATTCGTGCCATCTTAAGCCAGAGTAACTCCATTTAAATCAGAACATATGGATTGCATAATATATGTGTAATATATTACGCACACTTCTCGGTTTTGAAGAGTTTGCAGACTGAAGACAGCCAGAGACAGAAACAGATTCAGAGAGAGTACATGGTGGTCTATGAGTGAAAAGGCTCAGGGGAAGCGTTTCTGTAGAGAGGGGGATATGGAGGATGGAAAAGGATGCCCGCTTAGGAGTTCTGAGGGACACCTGTACTGACAGCTCTGCTCGAGAGCCGGCTGAGAAGAAAAAGATAGACCACTAAGGAAGAGACTTCCAAAATACTTCCATTGACAAACCAAACATCAGCACACACAAACTTGTCCAACAATGTAATGCAGAACAAAATCAATGTCACTTAATTTAAAAAAAAAAAAAAAAAAAAAAAAAGTAGAGGTTACTAGAGAGAATCTGACTTCTATTTTCAATTGCTCTGCCCAGATAAATGCTTTTCAGTAAGAGTCATACGTTAGCCAGCAATTTCTGACTGAGATCCTGACCCCCCGGGTGCTGAGCAGAATGGGGATGAGGGTAAATAAAGAGGAAGCACCCAGCATCCTGCCTCAACCTGCTTAGCCTCCGCTGGGGAACAAGGTCTTACTTGAAATAGTCCTGAATCTGGAGAACATAAAATTCAACGCGTAGGATCACATAGTTTTTTTGATGATTTACTACACTTACTCAAATATCTTAACCATTTCAGCGGATTTTAAATCACCAGGAAGCCAACAAAGAGATTTGTTTTTGACCTCCCTATCTCAGTGCTAGCTTCATCCTGGATAATAAGTCCTTTGGCTTTGCATGAGATACACAGTATAACCAATTTGAGCATTTCAAAGAAACTGGGTCTATCATTAGCTCTCAGGGACAGAAATCAATTCATATTACATTATGATTGAAATCCACGGAAGTACAAACAGAGAGATCAAGAATCATCTGTAATAAAAAGAAATGTTCAGGTAATTTAAATTGCTGGAAATGTACTCTGAGGACTAATGTGACTTACTACCCCCCACCAAGTTTTAGTGAGCCCCTCACCTTGATTGGAAATCAAAGATCTACGCCCACAAGTTTTTAAGAGGAGATTTTAGAGCCAATTTCCAAAGAAGAACTTTTTTTCCAACCTTATGCTTACCCAGTTTTAAGGACTGCCTGCTATCCCACATTTCTGAGGCTCATGTAAGCAGCCATGGCACATTTCAAAAGACTGCCACAGACCCGTTCTCATGGAATAAAATTTCTTGGGATTCAGTGCATGATGAACAAAGCATACGTATTTAGGACAGCACTAAGACTGAAGAGACAAGACTACTGTCTCTCTCCCCCTCCCCACCACTTGTAGCTCAATCAGGCAGCTGGCTCAAAAACCACTGCGGTACTCACAGGAGTGCTGAGACTTGTCCCTGGCCCTGATCCAAGGGCAACAGATAGCAATGCAGTATTTTAGACTAATGACCTCTTTGTAATCATCCGTGGAGCTACGTAAGCAAGGGAGGGATAAATATACCTTTCCAGCTCCTACACAAGCACACCCATATCCTAGTTTGGGCTTATAGTACACTTGCTAGACATATTTAGATGGCAAATACCAATGACTTAATCCTGAAATTACACTTTCCACCTTTTGAATATGATTAAGGTTTCATAACACAAAAAGTGATCTGGCAAAACACTTGAGCTCCTCCTGTCATTTGGGAATTGGACTAATACTTTCATCTGGTTTCCATCTCCATCCCTTTTTACTTCTCTACCTCTATCTCAAAAAACATCTGTAATGAAAGCAAAAATCATTACGGAAAAGCCTGCATCCATGTTCAATATACAAGACTGTAATGGAAGCACACTTAAACTTCTGAGATTCAACCACCTTTGAAGAAAGAAAGCTTCTAATTTTGGAAGAAGAAAGGCTGATTACTAAGTCAATCAAATTCAATTGCTGTTAGGCTTTACTATGATAATAATGCTTTGTAATAGTGTTTGAAGATGCAGATCATGATGTAAGAAACATTATGAAGATGAAACATTTTAACTTCAAAATACTAGTGATTTTTTTATAATAACGTAGTATTTTCCTCATGTCTGAAGTAGGTACTTTATACTCCTCCAGAATTATTTCATTTATTTTTAAAAATAGTGTAGTTATTTGATGTAGACAGCTATAGACTTGGAGACTTATCCTACAATCTTTTTTCAGTCTCCCAGGTTTTCTGCTGAAGGACTGCAATGAACCTGAAGTTGAACCCACCAGTGTGATTCCACATTGCTACTGTGATGTCTGCTCCCATGTTCTCTATCTCCCTCTCACCTTCTTCCAGCCTCTACTCAGTTCTCTATCTAAACACGGACAATGAGTTTTCCTTCTCAGAAGCTGTGGGATGCCATAAGCATGGTCATTAACAAAGCACAGCCATGAAAAATCTTTCTGGATTTTCAGGATGATAGCTGAAGTACACTGGGAGGGTGGATTTTTTTCAACATCCCACTTCACTTAACCTAACAGAGCTTTACGTCATTCATAAACTGAATGTGAGAAGACACAAGCCCCAGTCTCCACAGGGCAGCAATACAACTTGCACATCAGGCCATGGGTGCTGGTAGGCTTCTAAAGGAGCCAGATGCATGGCTCAAGAGAGCCTCCTCCATCCCTCCTCCCCGCGCGGCTAGGCTGGAGCTGAGGGATGGGCACACGGTTGAACATGACTGAAATACTGCGGCTTGACAAACTGCCACTTCTTGTCCCTTCAATCAAAATGGATACGCTTTTAGCTGCAATGTTGAAAAAGTTAGTTTAAACGTTAGCGAAATGGTGCCCAAATACCAATATGCTGATGTTTGCGGTGAAGGTCCCTTAGGAAGTGTGGCAGCTACACCCACCCCAACCTCCCTGAGCTGGCTGTTCCCATCCCCATGCTGCTCCTTCAGTACCAATATTTAGAGGGCTGAAAGGTGAACTGGATTTGAGAACTGATAGAGGTTGAAAATCTCCATAAATTGGTAGTCTTATATTGGATTAGTTCCTTAGCTTGTCCAATGTTACATTAGGACAGTTGTACTGGTAAAACTGTGGAGGTAGTATGGGGACACAAGTGGTTTAAACAAGCCAAAAGTGCTCCTGTTCCTATACAGGAACACACTTATAGAAATATGTGTGTTTACTTTGGTTTCTTATTTCTTCATCACTCTCCCCTTCGAACAGACAGACAAAACCAAAACACCAAACACGCTCAAGATGTGTTCATTCTCCAACCTCTACCTGCTCAGGCCATTTGGGTGAATCCCTGAAGTGTGCTAACAAGCACCACGAAATTTTCAACTCTAAGAGGTTTGCCCAGTTGAATTTAAAAGACAGGAGGCTGTATACCTTAAACTGGTACCCTGTCTTTGAAAAAAGACTACCTCTGCAGGTTAATGGCATTCTCGATACAGTTGCATTTTCTTTTTTTAAAGTTTGCACCATCTGCAAGTAAATCTGTATTATTCAAATTTAACATGCTGCAGTGTTGCCTCTTCTCTCCAGTAAAGTAACAGCAGAAACTGAAAAGAAAGCAACTTTCTCCAGGGAAGGCGACGCTCCCCAGAGGCTACTTCCCCCTCATCTCACTCGAGCGATCCCAATTCTCCCCTTCCCGGACATTCTCATGTCAGTCACGGATTATTCATTTACTTGCACACAGTGGAGGAGAGAGAACACAATGTCCTAAAATAATTGTTTGGGAGACACCACTGCTGTTAGTTTTTCATCAATACCTTTTTATTCTCAGTGAAGATCTTCTTGGAAATGTTTTACATGTTGCAGCTATTGTGTTTCCTCCACTTCAGTCGCTGCCAATCGAGCAGAGGAATATGAATGTACTTGCTCTACCTCTGCTCATTAGTTCTCAGCACATTTTAATCAGCAGGTTCCCTTTTAAACTCTTGGGTTTTGTTTATATTTTAGTAACCTGTTTGTCCTTACACAATTTAATTTGAAAGAAAATCTACCATACAGCACTAAGACAGCAATCTTGAGCCAAGTACAAAGGCTAAAATAGCCATGCGAATGATTCTGTTACTGCCTCCCAGAAAAATGTGGTGATCTGCCACAATTTTGGCTGGAGAGAAATCATTAATCATTAATCAGCACTGGTCTGACCTGGTAACCTGAGGCTTCTTTTCAGTGCACATGGGCAACTGCATAACCAGAAACTAAAGGACATGAATTTCATAAATCAACAGCTCTTAACATTATTACCACAACATCCCTGTTATCTGCGCAATTATGGCCCCCACTTACTTTTTTAGACTGTTCCTCTATTTTGTTTAAAGAATATTATCAAGCACTCACTGATTTACATCATTTTCCTTCCCCACCAGCAGCTCCCTACACTACAAGGTGGCACCCAGGAAAGCACAGCTTCAAAACAAAAACATCTAATTCATCCCCTGAGATGGAAAATTTCCATTTTTGAAATGGAAGTTTTTTTTTTTTTCTTTCTTGAGCAGAAAAGCAGCTCTCCAGC